GGATTGTTGTTGGGGGCAATATGCTGACTCTGTAAACCGCTTAGAGAGGGCTGAAAGCCCTATGAAGCGGTATATAAGTCTAACTGCTCTTGCTAACTGCTATTATGGGAGCAACAGAAATTCCAGACTGAATAAAGTTCTGCAGTCGCCTAACTTAAAGCTCACCCGGGAAAATCATTTCAATAACCCGTTTTAGAGTTATCTAATCCGGCTTTCCTGTCCAGAAGCACTTCTGGTGAGATGCACCCACGCCCAGACTTCCATGAGGAAGGTCTTTGCACTGTTCCAGAATGAGCTTTCCACCTGGGTGACCGCACGGCACTGTTTTGGCTGGATGGCTAGAAGACCCAATTATTTCCGACGATGTTTGTGGCTTATTGAAAACCACAGAAAACCTGGTCTCCCTTTGAACTGATGCAGCTGTTGGAAGCTTGTGTGGGCGACCTGTTTCCTCATTTGAAAGAGCTCCGGCTGCACCCTGCCCCTCAGCCTCCAGAGATCCTAACAGGTCCTTCAAGGAGAGAGGCAGTATGGTGGATCGCTTCTTCCAAATGATAGGATTTCCTCCTCTTATTTGCTCATGTGTTTATTTGTGTTTGGCCAAATACAGCATGAGTAAAGAAACGGAAGAAGGGGGCAAGCGGAATAACAGAATAACAGAGTTGAAAGGGACCTTGGAGGTCTTCTAATCCAATCCCCTGCTCAAGTAGGAGACCCTCTATAATTCCAAACAAATGGTTATCCAATCTCATCTTGAAAACCTCCAGTGATGGAACTCACACAACTTCTGAAGGCAAGACTGGTTGATTGTTCTCATTATTCCATCCATTGCTTCTTGTCCTGTCTTCAAGTGTTTGGAAGTTGACCAACTCTTATTTGGAGAAGCCCCTTAGAACATTGCTATCATGTCTCCCTTAGTCCTTTTCATTAAACTAGAGATACCCAATTTCTGCAAATTGTGCTTCATATGCACATTAAAATCTATGGATTGTCATTCAATACATCTTTCAAAGAATGAGGGAGTGGGGGGAAAAAGGGGGTTCGTGGAAGTGTCCTGGTAAATTAGCTTTAATTTGGATGACATGAATCAATGCATTATTCTAGGAATGAAAGCTACTCGTGTTGTTTAAAAAGATTCCGGAGGAGCAGCTGTAGAAAGTTAGCCCCTAGCCCCTCATAGAAGAATGAAATATTTTAAAGTAACGTGATTGCACTTGTATACTGTTGCTCTTNATCTATCTATCTATCTATCTATCTATCTATCTATCTATCTATCTATCTATCTATCTATCTATCTCATCTACATTCCTAACAATTGAAAGATACAAGGGATTCTTTTAGTTTTTCCAATGGGTTAGATATTAGTTTTTCCAAATAATTGATTCAGGCCCTCTTAATCACAACTTTCTTTCAAAAGGAAGTTTCCTTTCTTCTATTTGTCTTTTTCTTTCTATCATGAAATAATAGAGGCCATTTGTCTACTTGTGAGCTGAAATGCGCAGCTGAAAAAGCCAGGCTGATAAATTGTGAAGACAGTATGGCGTATGACATGGCTTTGTTTATTCACTTCATGTACTTCTCAGCATTCTTTGGGCAATAGGCTACGGCAGTTCCATTGTGTACTTGTCTAAATTGTTTAAAGGGAGGATGAAAAACAACAGCTGTAACTCTATTTCAGAGTTTCTCAACCTCAACAGCTTTAAGATGTGTGGACTTCAACTCCCAGAATTCCCCAGCCAGCCAGTCTGCCTGGGGGATAGTGGGAGTTGAAGTCCACACATCTTAAAGCTGTTGAAAATGGGAAAGCCCTGCTCTGTTTGACTGAGGACACAATATGGCAACCTGGTTTTGGTCTCTTCCCAATACAAATTTGGAAATCAGCAATTGGAAGACTGAGAGACTATGGCAACCATGAATCTCATTGAGCAAATGACCGTTTATGTAGGTAGACACGTCAGGAAATGGTCACCCATTGAGCCTATGAGGCCGAAGAGGATTTTACCACAGAACCTCACTGAAGATCTGGGGAAACATGACCTTGGCCTCCATTCTCCTCACCTCACAAAGAGTTGATAGAACCAACCATTTCCTCACAGGCAAGAGAGGGATGACATCACAAATGTCATGAGGTCATTGTACAAATGGCAAGAATTTTGGAGTGGACATAATTTGTGGAATTGACCTACAGGATGTCATTGTGGCTTCTAACGCATGCCAAGGCTGGCAGTTTCAGATCAACAGACAATGCCTTAACCTCTGAGGGAAAATTATGAGGTGTTTTTTTTTTTTTTTTTACAATCAAGCCCATCTTTTGTTCCACAACCAACCCCAAAGGCCAAAAGGAAAGATAATCACAATTCAAAGAACAAAACAAACCATGGTTTAGATTTTTGCCTCTTTTCCAGTAGGCCTCTTTAGAAGCCTGATGACTACCACAGCCAACATGGCCAATCCTGTAACCCCTCAGCATCTTCAACCTCTTGTGCGTACATGCCTATACAATATTTTACAAAATGGGAGAAAGGGATGGGGAAAAAATCTTGTTTTAGGACATTTAGCCATCGCTTCTGAAAAACTAGAAAGAGCGGTTTAGAAATAAAATGAAGATAACTTCGAAACGAGAAAATGTGAGTGCTGAATAGAAGGGGATTCCAAACATGGTGTGCGATTGTGCAGTCAAACTCATACCTGCCTCAGAGAGGATCTCTCTT